GTTTGTTTTTAGATGGTGTCTCACTTTGTAGCCCAGGCTGGAGTGCAATTGCACGATCTTGGCCACTGCAAGCTCTGCCTCCTGGGTTGGAGCAATTCTCCTGCCTCAGCCTCCTGAGTAGCGGGATTACAGGTGTGCACTACCACGCCCTGGTAATGCTGTATTTTTAGTGGAGACGGGGTTTTGCCATGTTGGCCAGGCTGGTCTTGAACTCCTGACCTCAGAAGATGATTCACTCAGCTCGCCCTCCCAGAGTGCTGGGAATAGGTGTGAGCCACCGCTCCTGGCCCTTTTTTTTTTTTTTTTTTTGACGGAGTCTCTGTTGCCCAGGCTGAAGTGCAGTGGTGCATCTCAGCTCACTGCAGCCTCCACCTCCTGGGTTGAAGCAATTCTCCTGCCTCAGCCTCCTGGGTAGCTGGGATTACAGGTGTGCACCACCGCGCCCAGCTAATTTTTGTATTTTTAGTAGAGACAGGTTTCACCATGTTGGTCAGGCTGGTCCCAAACTCCTGGGCTCAAGCGATCTGCCCCCCTCGCCTCCCTTTTAATGACATGAACTAAACATTTTTCTTAGTATTATTCATTAAAATTAACAAAGATTCATGTTTCGAATTTGGAAATTACCAAAAATTGAATGGGAGAAATAGAAATAATTTATAATTTCACTGGCAGGGATAATCACCGGTGGTATTTTGTGGTCTAGCGCTTTAGATATTAATATGTGATTAATACGACATATTTTGAAACAGTGCTATTTAAATCTATATATTTTTTCATCTTTTCTAAACATAGACTCATAGTGTACACAGTATTTATAATTTATTTAAATTTAATATGTTTTTATTTTATAATAGGTTTGGGGATTGTAATCTTGAATTAGTTTAAACCATAGCTGACTTGGTTTTATTGTTTTCCTGTGATCCAGAGCAGATAAAATCCCCCCATCTCTGTACTCCACCTACTGCCAGGCCTGCTCCGCTGCTGAAGAGAAGCCGGAAGGTGAGTTCCTGGGCCGCTTGCCCCGCTGGGACTCGTGCTTTTCCGTTTTCCTGACCTTGAGCGTCTGTCGTGCAGCAAAGCTCGAGTGAGCTGGGGGGTGGCTCTGCCGGCTCGGGCTGGTGCTGTGGGTACAGGGTCCGCCCACCATGCTGAGGCCCAGGGCCAGCCGTGGCCCAGGCTCTTACCTGGGGGTCCTGAAGAATCCCTTGGCACCTTCTGGAAAGGAGTGTGTGTCCTGCGCAGCCCCACTTTGTCGTTCGTCATCTTTCCGTGGGCCGCGCTGAGGTGTGCTTGTGCTTCAGACTCGGGTGCGCTCTCAGCGGCCACCGCGGGGCCCGCAGCGCCGGCTCCAGCCTGTTGCAGGGAGAGTCACGCAGCACTTTTCTGTTGCGCAGTTCGGGCAGGAGCAGAAGGCAGGCTCCGGCCTCCGGGGAGCAGCGGTGCAGCTGTCGGTCAGATCCAGGCCCTCCCTGGGAATCCGTGAAGGCTGCACGGGCAGCACTGGGAGGTGCCATCATGAGGCTGGTTTTTCTTGCAGTGTGGCTTTGTCTCCAGCAGAAGCCAGCACCTGCCTGTGGGAGCCGCTCGGCGCTGAAGGCCTAGATCTGAGGCTGCTGTGTCCGTGTGGGCTTTTTTTTTTTTTTTGAGACAGAGTCTGGCTCTGTGGCCTGTGGACTGCAGCGGAGTAATCTCGGCTCGCTGAAACCTCCGCCCGCTGGGTTCAAGCAGTTCTCCTGCCTCAGCCTCCCTAATAGCTGGGATTATAGGCGCGCATTACTGCGCCTTGCTAGTTTTTGTATTTTTAGTAGAGGCGGGATTTCGCCAAGTTGGACAAGCTGTGGTCGCGAACTGACCTCAAGTGATGCGCCTGCCTCGGCCTCTCAAAGTGCTGGGATTACAGGCGTGAGCCACCGTGCCCGGCCCCCTGTGTGTTCTTCTAGCTCCCCTTCCACCTGCGGGGCCGGGGAGGCTGGATGAGACTCTTGTAATGAGCTACAGGCCTGTTTTAAGTTCTGTTTGCCAAAGCTCCTTTTTTCAATAAGCTTAGAAAATTTCCAGCAGCCATAGAGACCCAGGAA